GGCTGTAGAGCACCACCTTGGGGGCCCAGTGGATTCCAGGCACACTCTGGGCACCTCTTCTACAGGTGTGACACCCCAGGGCGTGGCGGGATGGAGGCGCTCTCTGGGTGTGCTCCCTTCACGGGAATCCGCAGGGCGTAGAAGGTTTTATGTGCTTTCTCCCTGCGTTCTCCGTGTCAGGGACTGCAGGGTTTTTCAGAGCCCACCTGGTGCGTCTCCCACACACGGGACTGTGGGTGAGGCACTTTCCAGGCGTGGCTCTTATGCAGTGAATCCACCACTCGTGGTGTGTGGGTGTTCAGAGCCCCTGCTCCCGTGTGGCTCCCCCACACAGGCCCTTAGCGGAGGAGTGGCCCAGGCGCCTGTTCTCCTGTTCTCCTGTCACCTGACACCTGCGCTACGGAGGTGCTGCTGCTGTAGGCGGGGCGCCCAGCCCGCTCGGTGCGGCGTTCAGAGTCCTGGTGGTTTCAAGCACTCACCAGGCAGGATGTGGGGGACTCCAGACCCTCGCCAGCTACCTCTGCGCACCGAGCCGCACTGGTCCCCTCAGCGCAAGAACATCCGATGCGCCTTCCCGGGGCCCCCTCAGCCACCAACACAACACCACTGTACGTAGTTCCACACAGACCCAACAGTTTCGGCCGTCTGCTCCGCGTTCTGAGGCTGTAGCCTCAGCAGGGGGCAAGAAATGCGGAGGCTGCCACGTCAACCCCCAGCTCACCAAACGTCCGGCCGCTGCAGTCTGCTTCCACCGCTGCTGAAGGCCTCACGCCGGTGACGATCCCCCTGATCTCCCCGCCTCCGAGCTGGCCGCGTCTCCCGTCAGGCCGTTTTCAAGAGTGACTCAGCAGGTCTGGAGTGGGATGTCGGTTTCTCTGCCTTTGCCCTGCTCCGTTCTCGTTGTTCTTCCGAGTTGTGTGGATCTTTTTGGCTCCACACTGTCCCAGGGAGCTTCACGGACCTCTCCCTGCGGTTCTCTGCTGTTCCTCTTTGCTGCTTCTGTAGCGTTCTATCCCTCTCTCACTAGCTGCTCCCTCACAGTCTTCCTCCTACGTCGGCCATCTTCCTCTCCCCATGCATGTTATTTTATCCCTTTATATCAGGAGAAACCTGAATTACTTTAAATAACAGACTGATTATTCATGATCAGATTCTTATGCTATCTACTTATATGTGTTATTTTAATCATGCTATGCAAAAAAAAATAACAATAACACCTAAAGTCTAGCAAGTGAACAACCTTGCCTGGAGCCACACAAGTTAGTGGCCAAATGAAAACAGAAATGATGGGGGAAGACTTTCTCTCCTTCCCCAGGAAAGTATGTGCCCCAGAAAGATGACAAACAGTGCTTGTGACATGTCCAAATGTGAACCGAGTCTGGTCGTAAGCAATAAACAAGCCCTGGAGACTGAGACGGTCTGACGACAGCCCAGTGAGACACCCAAGGGCTTCATCAGAGGCATTGGACTCCTGGGGAAAGGGTTGAGCAGCGAGTTCACCTGCCACTTCACCAGGATGCTAACAACTCCTCCAGCACCAAGACCCACACCTCCAAGCATGAGCTTCCACCCTCTCCTCTTTGTCATATCAGATATCAGAGAAAGGTTGTGGTTTTGTTCTGTTTTTTTTTTTTTTCTGAGCCCAAAGTTCTCTTCCCCTGTAATCTACCTCACTTCAAAGACCTACTCCACTCTGCCTTGCCTTACTTAAGTACGTTCAATATGTTCTTCTCTTTCGAATATTCATTTCTGCAGAGAAATAGATGCACACCACACCCATATTTTAAAACCAACCTCTTAAACACATCTTTTTGCAAATCAATCTCCAATTACAACATACTTCTGAAGGGAAAAAAAAAAAACCCACATGCACATTCCTTGCTCAGACAGATCAACTCACTGAACTCAATGCAGTGTGAGCCCTGGAAGGCACCAAAACTCAGCACTGAAATCCAAAGACATTCTGACACCTTTGAACTCTCCACACTCATCTTTTCAATTTCTTCAGCCATGTTTTCCCTTACAAAAATCAAAGATACCTCCAGGTCGACCTGTATGGAAGTTTAACTCCTCACCTGTCTCCTATGAGCACGTATTGTCCATCTCACGCCTGTCTTTGGGACGGCCAGTCATCCCTTTTCCAGACAACTCAAAAATCGGGTGTTACACTACATGTTACTTTCTCCTGGGTCTTAAAATTCCATCAGCCCGCAAATTCTATTCTGCCCCCAAATTACTTCTCAAATAAAACCCGACTTTCCCAACATCATTTTCTTACTGGGATGCTCCTCGCGTAGACTAAATTCCTCCTTCCATCATGGCTATTTAATCGCCCTCCTTTGCTATTGGACGTGTGGTCTTTCTAAATTGAAATTATTTTAAATTCTTCAGCGGTTTTATTTTATGTGATTTTCAACTTCTTCTTACTGCTTTTTCTCCCATTTGCTATATTCTAGCTGTAACGAGTACTTCTGACTTGCCAAATGCTCTGTAATATTCCTTGAGTACTGCGATTTTTCTAAATCTGAAAACACATTTGGCATGTTTTTCTTTTCTAGTTAGAGTCCTTTGCCTTCCAAGGTGACTTAAGAGTTAACATTTTCACCGAAATCTTCAGTAACTGCCCCAATATTCCAAATTTGTCACCGATTATTTTCTAGAAAAGTCCCTGTGATGATTTCTTCCCAACACTTAAAAAATGGTAATAAGAACGCCTAGAATGAGAAGCTTTAACGATTATTTTCTTAATATGAAGACAACAGATTCCAGGCATTCCATAGATCAATTTTCTCCACCTTTGATTTTCTGCATTAGTTTTTGCAAAGGCATAATTTCAATCAGTTGCATATTCAAAATTAATTCCCCTATAACTACAGTCTTCAACAAATTAGAAGTAGGAAGACCACAGTTCCAAAGGAGCATGAACAAGGACTAAAAATGACAGTCCTATCTCACAATGTCTGTGTCATTCCCATCTATTTTTTTGATATTCTGTATTAACTGTCAGGTATCAGAGAAAACACATAATTGTTTGAGACTGTCTTTTTCAACTAAGCATAATGGTTTCTGATTGTATGCATTTTGCTGCAAAAGACAAAAATCTCATTTTTTTATGGCAGAATTGTATTCTGAGCTTTTTATACGATATTTCTTTATCTGGTCATTATGATGAACATCTAGGTTGATCCCACATTTAAGCTATTGAAAAATGAGCTGCAATAAACATAGGGGTACTAGCTTACATTTTCGTTAAGAATGAATTAGTGTCATCTTTGTCTTTTTAAAATTATTATTATATAATACAATGTTGGGGCCTGGCGTGGTAGCCTTAGAGGCTAAAGCCTTCGGCTTATATGTGCCAGGATCCCATATGGGTGCGGGTTCTAATCCTGGCAGCCTCACTTCCCATCTAGCTCCCTGCTTGTGGCCTGGGAAAGCAGTCAAGGATGGCCCAAATCCTTGGGACCCTGCACCCATGTGGGAGACCCGGAAAAAGGTTCCAGGCTCCTGACTTCAGCTCAGCACAACTCCAGCCATTGCAGCTGCTTGGAGAGTGAATCAGTGAATGAAAGATCTTCCTCTCTGTCTCTCCTCTTCTCTGTGTATCTGCCTTTCCAATAAAAAAGCATAATACAATGTTTATTAATATATTACTATATGTTGTGGATATAAATAAGACTGATTCCATCTATTAGCTGTAGTGAATAGTATTGGAATAAATGGAACAATACCAGTATGTCTTTAAATTCCTGATTTCAAGTTTTTCTTTTTAAATAAATATCTAGAAGTAAGATGGCTGGATTATAGAACATGGCCATTGTAATTAAAACAGGACGGCATAGGCACAAAGATAAACAAATGGAGCAGAATAGAACCAGGAAAATTCTACATGTATAAAGTCAGCAGATCTTCAATAAACGTACAAAAAGTATGACAGGAAAAGTATAGTCTCTTCAACCAATAGCATTAGGAAAACCAGTACCCATGTGCCAAAAAAAAAAAAAAAATGAGATTGGATCCTTATTTTATCCACAAAAATCAACTCAGAAAGAATAGAATTGCCAAACTCATGCAGTACCTGAAACTGTGAGAATCTAGAAAAAGCTGCGTGCCACTGCTCTTGGCAATGATTTTTCAGACATGACACTAAAAGCAGAGGTAATAAAAAGAAAAGAAGAAGAAGGCAACTGGAATTACATCAAGCTGTAAAGCTTCCGCATTGCAAAGGAAACCAGCAACAGAGTGAAGCATCTTTTTACAATGCTTGATATTAGTTGATGTTTGTCGCTTTCTTACATTTCTTCAAATGCTCACATGCTGCTTGCACGTGATCTGGTTAAGATAAATCTTATGATAAGCGTGGTCAAAAAGGAAGGATACCCCCCCCGTTGGTGTCTTTGAAAGGGGATTGTGAGTGCAGAAAGAAGAAAATGTGGATCTTAAGCAAGTTCCCCAGATAATTTCCCATGTTGTTGTTGGATATGGCATTAACCTGCTTGTGATTTCACCAAATTCTGAACACAAGCCTCTTAGGAGGGAAGGATAGGAGTTTTGTGTCACGGTGTTGGAGGTCACAGTCCGTGGCTGGGTGGGCCTCCGTGATCTGATGCCTGGGGAGGCCAGAGGACAGCACACGGGAGGCAGTAATCCCAGCAGGTCAGGAAGCCCACAGCAGCTGCCCTGACTCCAGCCTTCACGGCCAGCTCTCTCCCCAGAGCCACCTCCCTGGGCAACGCCCCCAGAGAACTAGGGCCCTGGGACTCAGCTTTAGTCCTGAAGGTCTTAATTGGATTAAGTCCCCACCCCTTGGTGGTGCTGTTTTAAGACCTCTCAAAGCCTAGCAGAGCTTACTCCAGCTTCCCTGTTGGTCTCTGGTTGGGAGAACTTAGGAAATGTAGAAGTCATTCTAACTCCTCCTCATGAACCAAGCTCTCATACCCTCAAGGGGGAACAGCATTGGCGTTTCACCTCTGAAGGACAAAATCACGGAAGCCCCTTACCTGAGACAATACAGATCCAAAGTCAAGGAGGAAATGCCCAACAGGGCGATGTAAACCAGCACGGTGATGCCCACGCCAAGAATCGCCGGTTGTTCCATTCTTACAAACACCCAGTACAGTTTTGCTGCATCAGCCACAGGCGTCTCCTCGTTATAGGCAAAGCGCTGGCAAAAGAAAACTCAATTTCAAAAAGCAGGAATGAGAAACACTGTTCATCCAATTAAGTGAATGAAACAGCTCTGTATAAGACTTCTGTTTTCACATGAAGTCGTAGACTGGAGATTACCACGTAGTTTCTGCAATACACAGTGCACAACAGTTAACTGTGTTTGTCTTGTTCTTTCTCTCAGCTAGACTGTCAGTGCGTATAATCAACATGCAGTTCATACGGTAAAAGGCCATATTTTATTTATATACTATTAACTTCGGAGTCCAATGAGCACAAGATATGAGGAAATGAAATAGGATGATGGCAAAGTCTTTTTTTTGTTTGTTTGTTTCTGAAGCAGACTTGATAGGATCTAATTTGTGCCGCGCATAAAAGAGATTGCTTAATTTAGGTACTTATAAAAAAGTTATCACGCCATTTAATGTGAGCTTGGAAACTAAAGTTTACATTAGGTTAAATCTGACAATCAGCGCTTATTTTAATCAAGGCAAAGCATCATCACCATCGGGTTATAAACGAATACAAGGCGATTTAAAACTCAAATATAAATTGCTGAGGACCTACAGTGTTGTTGGGTGACATCTCTGACCTTTGGGTTTTAAATAATGAGAGTATCCCGTAATTACGACGCTCATGGTACCACATGGAGGGACCATACAAATACACATGCCAAGTCACTTTTCTCCAAGACAAGGAGGAGGGAAGAATTTCGTTCTTAAACCGACAATTATGTAAATATAGCTTAAAGGGGCACTTTCAAAACTAACTAATCCAAATCACATATGTGTGCATGAAAACCAAACCTAGACAGTTTAATTTGTGTTTTCTCTACGCCAAAATATACTGTAGTAATTGGGCGACGAGTAGCATTCAGACCGTCCTGCTCTCAACCAGCGCACTTTGATGACCACACTGCACTTTTATTTTTGGACTCTGGATTCATTCATCAGTCTGTCTTGCAACATGTGGATCTGTTGCTAGGAATTTGGAAAAGCAGATCCATAAGGGTCCGGAGGCATTTGTCTTTCACATATCAAGTCTTATTTTTCTGCTGTTTCTTAAATAAATAGATACATTATTCATTGGTGAAACAATGACACCAAAACTCATGTGCGTTTGCTGTGGCAGGGATGACCCAGATAACGGATGCTAGCAGTTTATTTACTAGGTATCACGAAGCTCTGAAAAGCAGGAGGTGCATGAACTTCAAATTCCTGCCTTCGGGGAGATTACACTGAAGTGTGGGGGTGTGAAAGACAGGACTCACACGTGGAAGAATAAGAATACACAGGCATTGAGAGGATGACACTGCGAAGAAAAACACAGAACACATTTCAAAGAGGATAGAAAAGATAATAGTGGTGTTGCTACATTGGAATCAGAAAAAACAATATCGTGAGTAAGAACCTGAGAGTGAACAGATACGCTGATCTTTAAGGGGCTCATCTTATTCCTAGAATCCATTGAAAATATGTTAAGTGGAAAAGGTAGTGACTGCACCTGGCTTCCACACATCCTGGCTCGGCAGCACAGAGCACTAATCAGAGGGGTCGCGGGTGACCAGGGCGACAGGCCAGGGCACTGCCCGGCACCTGTGTTTGCTGCCCTTACCGGCATTAACGAAGAGAAGCACAGCGGTCCGAGCTGGCCCACGCAAACTCGGCATCACAACTCCAGCATCTACTGAAGGCGGATCCATTGCCACCATCGTAAAGTCAATTAAAGCCTGCCTGTACTTCCCAAATGTACTCAGCACTTGATGCCCTTACCATTTGTTATGCATGGGGGTCTCTAATCCATAGCCACATTATGTGTTCCCACCTGGGCCACTGAGAAAACGGCTCTCCTGTCCACCAAAACAAAAAATAAGTACACCATTACTAAAACACCATTGCTAAAGCATACTCCTCTTTATTCCTTCTGTGTCACGTGCAAACTTTTCAAGATTATTGCCGGTCTGTCCGCCATCTGACTCTCCCAACAGTATTGTGAAATCAGTGGTAAAGAACATTGTGGGTCTTTTTAAAAAACATTTTTTAAAAAAACTGTTTTTCAGAATGTCAGTGTTTACATTCTATATTTCTTTAATCCTCATTCAAGGATGATGTTCTTATCTCTGTCTATGGTAAAGACAGGAATAAAGACATATTTGTTCTGTATCTTTTAAACTCCAAGACAGAACGCATGCAGTCAAAAATACATTTTTGCTATTTAAAATACCCAACAGCAAATCTGTCCTGTGATGTTTATCCAAATGAGGGCTCTGCTAGAGAAAGAACTGAATTCAACAGAATTATGCATCCAGTATTCCATCGATGGGGGAACACACTGCCAAACTACCTTGCAGCCAGCACACTGAGCAACTGGCAAGGATGCCTAGAAACATCAATAGCCACCCTGTGTTCCAACCTCAAAGCATTCCATCTGCCACATCTCCCTTCAGATCACCATAAATAAAGCGAATCCACAACACAAAACAACTTGAATCAAACTCAAATGAGTCCCTGCTCTAGCTGCAAGGGAGAAGCGCTGCAGAGCCTGGAGCTACGAACTCAGGCAGCCTGAGTTTCAAGTTTGAGTACCAGTAAGTCTCTGATAATTGTCATCCATGGAGAACAACCGTCCTCCAACTTTAATGGCTATTGGAGTCACCTTTTAATCGCATCCTGTTGGGTCTCTGTGCAGACATTCTAGTCAGTGCTGTAAGGTCCTAGATTTCCTTCAGTTCTGCTACGTTCCCAGGTGACGTGAATACTGTTGCTCCAGGAATCACACTTCAAGAACCCCTGCTTTAGACCAGCACTTCTCAAATCTCAGTCCATCGTCAAATCACCCAAGAAGGCAGTTAAACTCAATTAGCGGACATGTGCAAATGCAGTTCTGTAGGTATGCAGGACATCTCGGTGCTACTTGTCTAGATGACACACAACTTCAGAGCTTTTGTAAAGGTTTCAGAAGTGGATGTCATCTCAGTATAATGTAAATGGTTCTCAAAGGAGAGTTGACAGTTTGTTATGTTAGGAACAAATGTTTGGATTTTCTTTCCAAAGGGGCAGGGCAGAGATGAATGCTATGTTCATCTATTAAAATTCAAGTCAGCTTCCATCAAGCCCTGGGTCTCTGCAAGGTTCAGAGCTGGCCATGCTGCAGGCTACTTCCTTATGGATTGCATCCGAGGACTCAGAATGAGTTAGCACTGCTCATTTTGTTAGCTGCCTTGATCTGGTGAGCAGTTCAGCTATCAGTCTTCCCCGGGGGGCCCGATTGGAAGGAGGAAATCCGTTTTAGAAAGACTGATGAAGTTTTGAGGAGATCTCAGAAGATCCTAAGAGACAGCTGCTCATCTTTTGCGGTGCAACAGATCAGGTTCTTCCCAGAAGGCAGACATCCCCTTCTCTGTCTTCTGCTCAACAAGCTTTGATGACAGTCTCCTCCTTGTTTGCTTGGAGTCTTAGAGGGGGTAGAAATGTGGAAAGAATCCAGATGGCTTCTGCTCTACCTACTCTAACCAGCAAAGACCAATACAACTTAGACATAAGGTACAAAATACAGCCAGTTCTGACTCAGAAAGCTTCCTCTTCTGGCATGTCATCAGGAAATATCACATACTGAAAGTGAAAACAATATCATCAAATGCTGACAAACTCCCTTGGCATATGATTCCATCTCCAATCCCGGGACTAGAAACTTGAAATCTTTGTATGTATTTGTTGAGCTCATTTCAACTGCATTAAATGATCTGCATACAGTTCCTCATTGAACTTGGTATCAGGCTCTTCGCATTTCAACAGTCAGCAAGAAGCAGAGTGGTCACTGGGAATGTAAGAAGATGTTAAATGAACTCAGAGTGCCAAGGACTCCAGCTCGGTTAAGAGAAGCATAAGAATCCTCAGCCAGTTGGAAACTCAGCCTTGTGAAGAACAAAAGGAAATGGGGCAGTGTTGTTGGGCTCTGTACCTTGACACTCACGAGGCAATGCATAGAATCAGCATCATTGGCATCACCTAGGAACTACTGGAAACACAGAATCTCAGGCACTACCTGCCCAACTAGAATGTGCATTTTAATCGGAGCCTCCGGGAGGTTACGAGCATCAAAGTGTGGCCCGAGAGAGAGACAAAAATGGGAACAAGCTCTGTTGGGCTGCACTGCCAAATACATTACCCAGGATGCAGAAGACGTTTTTTAGAGTAATATAAAAGGAGGCACTTTGATCCTTGGTTCTAAAAGCACATTATTGATGGTAAACTCAGTTTTCAACATAGTTAGCATGGAATACAGCAAACACTCCATTTCTGTCATCTATTTTGGCTCAGAGAATGTAGTCTCAGATCGTATATATTAATTTGGTAATGTGTTACCATTAAATGAAGAATAAAACATATATGAGACAATATTTTATATAACTTGAGATACTTTTATAAATGAATATTTGATAAAAGAGATAAATGTATGGTGTCCATCAGCTGTCTTCTATGAGGCATAAACTTATGGCTAGGTCTACAGACATAATAACATTTGATTAAAACTCATATTTCCTTTCCTTTGACTATGGAAACTTCTGGAAAACTTGATGAATGCAAGTGGAAGTTCTTCTCAGCTTGAATGATTTTATGGGTTGCCTACACAATTCCTCCTTGATGATCCCATCCTAAAGCATTCGGTGACTTGAGCCAAAGTTACTAAACTTCAGGATGAGATTTGTGTTGAATTGACAAGATAGCGAAGGGTGCCTCATTGAGGCTTATTTGAGTTAGCCAAGCTCTATAGCGCTGGAACATAAGTTAGCCAAGTTCAATAGACGTTAGTAGATCTTCTCAAGCTGCTCCTATGAGCTCTCCTGCTTGTCTGCTGCCTTGGTGGTTCTCTGGCTGTGGTCCCTTAACCAGTAGCCTCAACATTGTCTGGGATAGACCCTACCCAAACCCTTCCATAGCAGAAGATCTGAGAATAAGCCACAACAGTTTGTGTTCTTCCTGCAAAGGAGTATGGTATGGAAAGTGATTGGCAATCCACACCTGCCAATCATCCTCCCCAGGAAACTGCAAGACCTGCCAATTCAAAGTGACTTGGGATGCGGGTGTGTACAAACACGCATATCAATTGACCTGAAGTGTGATGTGATGAAATGATGAGCAGGGACAGCACATATCTGAGCGTACGAGGCAACTGTCTCAGCATTTGAAGTCCCAATTTTATCAGTGTGAAAGAAACCTTTGTCTCAGAATTCAGACACTTGGTTTCTAATCTAGTTGCTGGAAGAACTGGCTCTCAGATATTTAACACGTTGTGTAATTCTCTATTTTCTCCCGTGTGCATAATCCGAATACTTGCCACGCCAACTTGCATATTATAAATATGAAATCAAATCAATTATGTGAAGATACTTGAAAAAGTATCGCTTGAAGAGTGGCACTATCACTGTCATTGCTTCTTTTTCATGGAGTTCTTTAATCACATCGTTTGGGATGCCTAGCTCCCGAAAGTCTACAACACAGAGTGCAAGTGCATAACATTTGTCGTTTCATTACCATCACGAAAGTAAAACCTGATGCCTCATGGTGTGATTTTCTAACGTATTTTTTACCTGGAAATATTTAAGAAGCTCATCTATTAAAGGAGATAAGTAACAGAAAAGCGATCATTTAAAGAAATTATTATATGATACTTTTTTGAAATGTGTGCCTAACAAAGCTATCAAAACTTAAAAAATAAATATTCAACATAACAATTTTGAAAACATGTCAAAGCAACTTGGATTTGACCTCTAGCATGATTTCCAGCTTACTTGGCAGGGTTTAAGATAACCAAGATTATATTCACATTGAGTATATTAGACGTGCACAATTTTTATGAGGAACTCAGTTTTAACCCAACATGAATATTGAACGCTTATCATTATTGAAACTTCGGATGCCAACTGATTCATGCACTACAGCTACAGTCTATGTCAAGGGCTCATATCCTTATTATTCTTATTATTTTATTTGACTTACCCCCAGGATAGCGTCCACTATAAACACTGCCAGTGGGTCTAGAACTGTCCATAGTCCCATGGTAATGATTAGCTTTGACAAGACGTCAGGGCAGGAGGCAAACAGTAGCTGACAGCCCCATTGGACCAGAACCAGAAGAAGTATCACTGCATTCAGCGTTAAAGTCCCCACTGCAACCATGGGTAGCTCTTCTCCGACGTGAAGTAAAGAGGCTGGGTAGCAAAGCTCCACTGTGTGAGGGAGAAACTGGAATCTGCAGGACAGTCAGGTGAATGCAAACAAGAGTTTCACGGACAGCAAAGGGTACAACATAATTTTTAATAAAGCACGGAGGTTTCTCTTTTAAGTATAAGGAACTTGCTATGCAATAAAACTTCAAAACTGTGTTATCTCCGATTACCACCCCAATATCTCGTTTTCAACAAAAAGGTGAGTGCTACTCTCCCTGGCTCTGCTCAGTCTCACATGCAAACATGCAAAGCATGTGGAACATTTTCTAGACTGAGACTTCCCTACAGCTCACACAGTGCTTATTTTTAAGCTTCTCAAAATGCAAAACATCAATGAACTTTCTACTGGTCAAATTCTTACACACATTAGAAATAGGTATAAATACACTAATTATTCTGAGACTTTTTGCAGGTTGCTCCTTTACCTTGACTTGTGTATACAACAAGACTGGTAGAATTCAGAAGCAATATATCCGATTTTTCAGTTGCTATAAATGGCCAATTGGATGTAGCCTTAGGACCCACGGGTTAAGCCCCACCTGATCCTGGCAATTCAAGGTGTCGTAGAACAGGCTTTGCTGTGATTCTTTGGTGCAGAGCAGATTTTATTTCACTGTGTTTACCGAAGTTTCAACTAATTCCTATTGAATACCGCTGTCCGTCCTACTGGATGCAGTCTGATACAAAGGACTCTTTCTTTCATAAACTTAACTTTTGTTTTAATGAAAGTTCTATGCTTTGCTCTTTTGTAAATATGAAAAATACCTTTCCTAGCACAATACCTGACATAGTGAGAGGAAACACTGATGTGATCGCACATCCTACAACTATGACGCGACACGGAGCTCTCGTTTGGGTCAATGCTGCAGATCAAAGGGGGAACGAGACAGGCTGGGTGCCACGTGTTAGGTCTCCTCTTGTTCAATAAATCGGCTAAATTGGGCTACCGAGACACTTTCTGCAATCTTCTTAACAGCTAGTAAAGGTGGGGTTTCCTCTGCTGACATGAAAGAGCTGAGAGCAGTACTCCTTTCTGCCCTGCATATGCTGGAAAAGGGTAGGAGAGAGGAAGGAGGGAAGGAAGAATGGAGGAACGCAAGCAGGAAGGGAGAGAATAACACTGTAAGCATTCCACATTAAAACATCATTTATTGTAAATATATTTATATACGTATGCATCTACAAATGCTCATCATCTATAATAGAATCAGTATGGTATTTTATTAAGACTTTCAAAAATGTTACATTCGAAAATAGGCAAATATTTGTGTGTATACTAAATATACATATACATCCCTTTTCCATGGAGTTTTTTTTTTTTGCAAACTTCTTAACTGAAAACATTCATGCATCTTTAGATCATCTACATTTGAAAAAACAAATCTTTTTAAAAAAGATTTATTTATATTTTTTGAAAAGTCAGATATACAGAGAGGAGGAGAGACAGAGAGGAAGATCCTCAGTCTGTTGATTCACTCCTCAAGTGAGCACAACGGCTGGAGCTGAGCCAATCCAAAGCCAGGAGCCAGGAACTTCCTCTGGGTCTCCCACATGAGTGCAGGATCCTAAGGCTTTGAGCCATCCTGGACTGCTTTCCCAGATCACAAGAAGGGAGCTGGATGGGAAGTGGGGCTGCAGGGATTAAAACCGATGCATTCAAGCTGGGAATTTTAGCTACTAGGCTACTGCACTGGTCCGTGAAGACACATTTTACTTGTGCAGATACTTATCTGTCTCTGCAGTCAATGGATTGATGCTTATGGAGAGATACTCTTTAAAGCACCAGCTTTTTCGAAAAGCATGCCTCGGCTTGACTTTGGTAGCTGCTTGAATTCTGTCACCTTCAAAGGAATGTGCTTAGCTTGAAATAGATTTTGAGGTACCCATTATATATTTATATGTACCAGCCCGTGAGACTTTATAACAGAAGCTCTTGCTGTCAAATAAAGACATTTTCCTCATCTTTGCAAATCATACCTTCACTTTAGGGCTTATGGTCAATGGATGAGACAGGTGTTTTCATTTCCTTCCAGGACCATAATACATTCCTTTGGCTGTCAGGGGAAAGCACTCACTTTGTAACAGGAGCTGAAATGGCCTGGAGGAACAGCCACTGGCCAAGGTAGTGCAGGTGCAGCCTCAGAAACCACACGGAAGCCAGCAGCAGGAGGGTGTACCAGAAGCTCTGGCTTTGCCACTGAGCGAGCTGGAGCTCCGAAGACACGGACATCAGCACGAAGCGCAGGTGCTTCCCAAAGTGCCCAGATCCGCTTCCGTCAGCACCCGAGGAACACCTGTGCAGGCGAGCAAACAGAGCGAAGGAGTGAAGCTTGGGCTTCAAGGACAACCCAAAGGGAAATATTATAAGAAGTTCAATGATGACATCATGAAACTAAAACTGAGTGAAACGATTTCAAATACTGGGATTCAAGTATCTTTAGGTTTCTTTTTACTATAATGAATGACTAAGGAAAGCAGAAATATAGCATTATAGAAATGTGAAGTTGCACAACTGCTCTAGAAAAAGTGTGGTGTGTCTTCCAAAAATGAAAATAGATCAACTGTTAGAGAAGGACCCCGCAATACCTCACACCACTCACCATCAAGTGAAATGAAACTTTTTTAAAGATCTTTTTTATTGTTTTTATTGGAAAGTCATATACACCGAGAGGAGAAGAAACAGAGAGGAAGATCTTCTGTCGCTGACTCACTCCCCAAATAGCCACAATGGCCGGAGCTGAACCAATCCGGAGCCAGGAACCAGGAGCTTCTTCCAAGCTTCCAACGCAGGTGCGGGGTCCCAAGACTGTGGGCCGTCCTTGACTGATTTCCCAGGCCACCAGCAGGGAGCTGAATGGGAAGCGGGACTGCTGGGATTAGAACCAGCATCCATATGGGATCCCAGGCACAAGGTAAGGACTTCAGCAACTAGGCTACCACCCCAGGCCCAGAATATGAATTTTAACAATGCGGAATTGTCTCAGTGCATTATGTTTAAATTATTTTATTCACATAAAGTGAACATGCCTCAGTTCAGAATACAGGGATCCTTCCCACTCTACCCTCCCTCTTGCATTTAGTTTGTTTAGTTTTTTTGTTTGTTTGTTTTATAATGGCATACTTGCAGTCCCCTTCTCAATCACATCTTAATAATCCACTAGGTAAAGATATCAACAACTAGGTTATAAACTTCCTGTTCCTCAAGAATGTAGACAAAGGCTGTGACCAGTAATTAGTTGTTAGGATGTCCATTTCATTCCTATAGATCACTTTTTTTGGTATTCTGTGTACTAGTTAGCACAGATCAGAGGAGAAAACATTTGTGTTTCTGGGACTGGCGTATTTCATTAAGCCTAATAATTTTCCAGTTTCACTAATTTTGTTGTGTAATATATATGTATACACACACATATAAACACATATAAACACACATATATATATACATACACATATATACACTATGCAAGAGACACTAGCATACGAAGAAGCAAAGGTTCTTTACTTTGCGTTTCTACTTCTGAATAAAAGTAATATTCCAAACGAGCCTTTTAAATACACCTCTAAAATATGGTGCTGGAGTCTCTACCTTTGCCTGTACTTCTCATGTCTTGAAACATTTAAATGTCAGAAAGTTAAACATAGCAGGTGGTAAGGGACCACGCTATTGTGATAGTATGAGGGAAATGGCAGGAAGGGAAGAGGAGGCAAAGTAAGGCGAGGGGCAAGGATGAACATTATACTCACAATCATGTATTATGGAAAACAATGAAAAAGTTAAACTTGCTTTTCAAAGTAGAACAGTGATCTTCCATGACTAATACCTAAAAATCAAGATGCAAATGTTGGTAAGGATGTGGAAGAAAGGTACGCTGACACCGTGGAGGTGGACGTATAGACGAGCACAATCACTAAAAGAGGGAGCATGTAGACTCCTAAGGGACGTGAACACAGATCTACCACATCACTCGACCATTCCAGTCCTGGGAATTTACTCAAAGGAAGTGAAATCAGCTTATGTAAGATGATCTGTTTGTAGCGGCTCAACTTAGAATGGTTAAGATACAGAATCAGCCCAGATGTCAGTCCACTGGTAAGTGAACAAAGTGTGGTGAACATATAGGACAGAAGGCTGCTGAGCCATAAGAATGAAATCTTATCTTTCATGACACAATGGATGAATTGGAGAACACTCCTATTTGTTAAATAAGCCAACCTCAAATTAACAAATCTCATGTATTTTCTCTGATATGGGATACTCAATGTAGAATACAAACAAAACACATAAGATTAAACAGACGTCTTATGGTTCACTTATTATTTATACTCTTGTCTATATTCCTTTGTAGCATGGTCTTTCTATCATTTTCCTTTTGAAAACATGTTTCTTCAATTTATTGTCATGTACTTGAAAACTGGAGCAACAAAGAGAGGAAAAAAGAAAAATCGTTTCTATCCACTATTTCACTTCACAAATAAAGTCAGAAACCTAAGACTCCAGCCAGATCTCTCACATGGGAGGCAGGGACCCCAGCACTTGAGCATTTTTGCTGCTCTCAGAATGCAGTGGCAGCAAGCTGGCTAGATGCAGATCAGACTCGTGCCGGTGCGCTGACACGGGGTGCATGCATTATAGCTGATGGCCTCACCTGCTCTGTCATACTTCATGTCTGCCATGAGCTTACGTTCAAATAACTTAGACATGTCAAAATATATTTAATTCATTGTGCCACAGATAGCAGGTGAAAATGCTTTCACGCGTACCCCTAAGAGTCATCTAAACCAAGTGTTCATCTCAATAATATATACGTATATACATATATACAATATATCATATTTATTTGTTTGTGCACTTTTCTGCTTTTTAATTCTTGAACGTTGTGGTTTATGTTGTATTAAGCTTGTGATTATATAGTGAACGAAAGGGAGAAAAGGAAGGAAAGGAGGAAGAATTGATGGAGGGAAGATGGTTGTCTTGGAACTGTTATCTATAAAGCACACGAAATCGGTTCTATTTATATGACACAACATTTAAATAATAAATAAATAAGCAAAGCTTCAGCAGAAAAGAAGGAGGAGGAGGAGCATGAGGTGAGACTCGGAAGTGCAGACATTGTTCAGTGTGAGAAGAGGTGACTCATTGCCCAAAATGCATTGCTGAAAAGCAAGTCTGAGACAACAGTACAGCTGTGGGCAGGGTTGCTTCTCGTAGGAAAGTGAGGATGATGTAACGGATGAACACAGAGGCCTTCATGGTGGACCCCAGGGCCATGAGGTCTGGGCAGTTGATCTTGGTTTTATCCAAAGAACTAGCAACGGTTCCCATGTAGATTTCAGAATTGCAATGAACGGATAGGTACTGTGAAAGAAGCATGCATTTCAACTTTTCCCTTGCTTCCAAGCCATCATACAAAGAGGTTTCAAAGTTTGCAGGAAAAAAAAAAGAATTATAAATCATGTGTTGTGGGGTAGGGGGTAGGGCTTCAAAATTTTGGGAGTGTTTTCATCAAGAACGTATTAAAAGTTTAAATTAAAGAAAAAAATCATTGCCAATAGATGGCACTAAAATGTCCATATTCCCTGTTTCTGGCTTCAAAAAACATAGTCTAGATAAAGCATTTTAAAGATTAAGGTGCATTTTAATACCAATTATCTATAGGTAATTATTTTAGTTTAGTACTTCTTATTTTTGCTGACGCTAAATCAGATGAATGCTTTGAGCCGTATCATCAGTGATTGTATGCTTTCTAAGAATAAAAACCCAATACTTCTGCTAGCAAATATAATGTAAGTATCAGAGACACATACCCAGATCATTTCAAGGTTCTGTTTAGGAGAATCCTCTAAACTTTTGGCACAATCTAAACTGAAATGCAAGCAGGTGAAGGTGACATGCCTGATTTAACACAAGTAGTAACATAAATGTCTGTAATAGACAGCATCTTCAATGGTGTTTTTCGATAGTCACCAACTGACTCCCTCGAACAACAAACCTCAAGGCCAAGGAAGTCTAGTCGGTTTGAATGTGGGCGGCGTGGCTGCAATGTGAAGGATGGAAACACTCCTTCCTTTGCTGGAGATGGCTGAATTGGATACAGTTCATTCTTTCAAATAATTGTCACTAAATGAATATAGCATGTCAGATCCTAGGAAAGTGTAGTTAACGGAATCATGTCCCCTGCACATATCCTTGCCTTAATCCCTGAAATCTATGATTAGGTTGATTACACAGAAAAGGGGATTTAAGTAGCAGAGGGAATTAAAGTTGCCAGATATCTAAGTGTAGTCCAAAGTGGACAATAAGTCATTTCAGCAGAAATACAATACTAATACAAGTAAGTCCTGGATTCCCAACCATGTGCAACCTGCTCATTCACTCACACAGTGTTCATAGCTTTATGTTGCAGCAGATTAAACTACCACCTGTGATGTTGGCACTGGTGTGGGTCCTGGGTCCTCCAGCTCTGTTAAAGTTCCTGCTAAAGAGCCTAGAAAATCAGCACAAAATGGTCCAGAGGCCCAGCCAGCCCTGTGGGAAACTTAGATGAAGTTCCAGGCTCCTGGATTTAGCCTGGCCCAGTCCTGGTTGCAGTAGTCATCTGGGAAATGAACCATTGAATGGAAGATCTCTTCTCTCCATCTCTCTCTCTGTAACTCTGCCTTTCAAAATAAATGGATCAGTATTTACCACACACACACACACACACACACACGCGCAAATTCTATTAGACAGACAAGGCAAGTTAAACAGAAAGATAAAAGCCAGCATGATAAAGATTTTGATGACGTGCACACTGCTGTGGAAAGCACGTGACAGACATCCATCTCAGACAGGCCAGAGAAGGCTTGCGAGCTCACAATGTACTATAATCACCATGGGACAGACAGTGGTAGCATGTTGTATGCTGGGGAAACCTTGCTCCGATTGCAGAATAAAGACCACTTTGGAGGTGGGGCAGTCTAGGTTGTAAGACAGAAAGGGCGATGACATTCGAACTTCTCAGCCAGGATCAGAAATGTGCGTGCAGTTGTTCTTGTTGTTGCAGTGGCATTGAAGGTTGACAGAGTACTGAGATTCGTGGTGATGTGTGCGAGGATCTCGAACCGGAAGCAGCTGTATTGCGTCTCAGGTCACTACAGCCACAAAATGACTGGTTTCAAGTTACAGAAATAGGCAACCCATTATCTATTCGAGGTCTGAATCCATAGACTTAATCAACCTCAGAACTACAATATTCGAAAAACTACTGTGCCTATACTGAACGTGCACAGATTCCTTCAGCAACACAGGGTGAAC